TGCAAGCCTCAGTTGAGGATGGTGTCGGGGCCATGGGTGTCGGGGCGGTGGCCCTGGAGGTGGGAGGCGTGGGCTCATGGGCGGAGCTCACGGCTCGGGTGTGAGCTGGCTGCATGACCGTGCGGGCGGTGTGGTGGTCAGGGTGCGACAACCAGAGGGATGGGTGTGGTGGGCCTGGCTTGCTGTGCCTCACCTCAGTGGCTTTGAGGACTTCCCAGGGTGAAAACCTGCTTTGGCTCTGCCAAGCCGACGGTAACGTCGCCTCCTTCTTGAAGGCATCGTTACGCTCCTCTACATGCTCCGATTGCTCCGAGGAAAACCTTGAATGCGGGATCGGGCGATGATGATACTTTTGTGTCGTGCCCTTCTTGAAGGCACCATCTTGGAGTGTTCGGCTTGTCATGCACAACTTTCTCTCTTCGTAGTGACTCGCTCACGGTTGAGGTCTTCGGAGACTCCAAGTGATGTTCTTTCTGCCTACATGTAGTTTCTTAGAGTGGATGGGGTGACCTAGTTATTCTTATACACCCTTGTATCTTTGCCTTGAGTGTGTGTGTTGTGGGAGTGAGTTGTATGTGTCGGTTTGTATGGTGATCATTGCTTTATATATAAAGTGGGGCGCGAGCCTTTTTTGGTAAAGACATTGAATCGGGGCCCCTTGTGCCATGCCTGCCGACGCAAAACCATATCCTAAATAGGCAGGAGCCGCTCCCGACACCAGATACCGGTTGTTGTACCCTCCCCACGAGCTCCACAACAAAGCCATAGCCAACCTCGATGCGACGAAGATGAAGCTAAATAACAAACTCCCCACATCGTAATCATTGCCTCCGCCACGACGTCCATGCCTGGAGCACAAAAGCTTGTCGGATCCGTAGATCCACAAGCACCAACCGCCAGAAGCTTATCGGGTGCGCCACAAGTGGCCTCACCGAGGTGGGAGAGAATAGTAAAGACATTTATTCCCTTGTGTCACCGTCACTGCCACCATGACCACATTGTTGAGATCCCTAACCTACTATCTACACGCCTAGGGCACATATCCGAGGTCACTCCACTCTCCCATCGTCGGAGAGGGAAGAAACTGCAGATCCGGTCGTAAGGGAGTGGGGGACCGAGATCTCTCCTTGTTCGCCGCTCTCGAACACAGTTCACATGAGGGGAAAGGATAACTATATATGCTTCTACCCCCAATCGGACGAACGAACCTGATGTCGTGTTTGCCTCGCCGGCGCGCGTGTGAATGTGACACACCCGTAAGTCGCGCGATCCTTCCTAATTGTTGTGTGCTACGATTGTTTGATGGTAAACGATTTGATCCGGTCGACCGGATGAAAACTCCGCTAGTCGCGCGTGAGTCGTGCGATCCGCGTCAATCCGACGCTCGTCAGCTTGCTCACGTGCGTCGTGGGCCCCACAAGCTGCTCTGTGGGCATTCTCATCCACGCAGTCCTTCCTCATTCTAAGCACCAAATACATCTCTTCTCCAATCATCCTCACAGTCGGGAGCTGCGACCGACAAGGGAAGGAAGGCGAGCTGCAACTTTTTTGCTGCAACTGTGTCTACTTTTCGCTACTATGGCGACGGCAGTTTGCTACATCCATCCTCGGCGAGTCACAATCGATGTGGTGGCGATGACTTTTTTACTACAAATTTGCTACAATCGATGGGGCACACTGCGGAGTTACATCTAGCGGCGCAAAATGCTACAACCGGCAAGGCGACATGCTGTGATGGAGCCAAATCCAGCAGATCTCGGGCAGGGGGCCCCAAACTGGTAGCCCCTAGCCGGAACACCATCATGCTGGAACCAGCGTCTACTTTTGCTGGAACTAGACGTGCCCTCACCTGCTTTTTTTTGCTGGATCCATCATAAATTCATTGGTTCAAACACATACACAAGTATTACTCTATGAAAAACACATACACAAGTAACACCTTTCTAGTGGCATATTTAACTGTTTTAGACTTAGAGCAGGCCCATCATCTCCGGTGGTTAGCTATTGCACTTTGATGTGTGCCAGTGTTATTGCACTTCGTTTTGAAACTCAGATACCGATTGGGTCAAACTTTCAAGTCCAATCTCCTTCCATGGTGTGATGTCATCAATTTGACTTATGATTTCGATTTTTCTTAATCTTTTTTATTTAGAACAAACGAGATGTATATTTTTTGGCTACCCATATTGTGTCGATAATTCATGGGGAAGAGAACATTGAAGGTACTCTCTCCATTCCATTGAAGTTCTAAGTTTGTACTAAGTCAAAGCTCTTCAAGTTTATCAACATCTACAACATCAACCATATAGTAAGACTTATTTGATGTTGTATATGTTAGTATATTTTTCTATAGACTTGGTCAAACTAAAATATGAATGGCTAAGGAGAAATCTAGAACTTCAAATATTTTGGAAATAAGGGAGTAATTGCTAATTGTTTTTCCTTCTAGAAAAACTGCACTACCTACCTCAAATACAGCAGATATATACCTTATTCCTAAAATCCCAATGTTAATACCACACATGTTTGTTCTAATTTGCTACTTCCTCCATTCACCAATATAATATGTTTTGGATATTACAATATAGACTACATACGGGCTAAAATCGCTGAACAAACACACTAATATATATATATATATATATATATATATATATATATATATATATATATATATATATATAGGAAAATGGGTTAGTACTCCTAGGAGTACATACTCCTACCCACGTCCCCTCAAAAATAATTTACTCCTACCCACGTGGCAGCTTTTGGTAATCCCACGCAAATGAACTCCAACAGATATCCACTTAGTTAGTTTAATATACAAATCTCACGGAAGGGATAATGTGCACTTTGAAAACTGGTCCGAAATAATAGGGATAAACACGTAGTGTTGCACTTTTGTTGCTCAGCATATATTAGTCTATTATAGGCTTTTGAATCTGACCATCTCATCCATGCGTACAAATCATTCCAGACGGCAGCGACATAACGACGGCGACAACAAGATGATGATATACGGCTGCCTCCTGATTCGGCACGTGCCTACGGGCAGACGCGTATATTGCAGACGCGACGAGCCGCCGTCGCCGACCCGACTACAGTAGGGTGATCCATCGGTCAGGTTATTTACGACACTATCTTGAACTCTCGTGTGTAAATTCGATGCATGGATGCAGCATCACGTTTAATCTTTGGTTCTTGTTATACAGGATGAATTGATTAGTGGAATCATAGGAGGAGTCCATCCGGCGGCCGCACGTGGCCGAGCAGCCATGGTGAAGCGAGTTCGTGCACACTGAGTAATCCAACTGGCGAACTTCCATAGCTCGAACTCTGACGGTCTAGTTCTCGTGTTGCCGATCTGCCACACCCACCGGCGCAAGCAAGTCCTCGAGTTGAAGAACACACACCTCTCCTAGTCCTAACCACCGATGACGCATATACCTAGCACACATCTTATATCAGTATAATGTAGGCATGAGATTTAGCAGCTTTCATTGCACATATGGAATCATCTCGTGTTCATTATTGATAATAAAGGAATACTATTTTGTTTTGTTTTTATGATTAATGCAGTATATGATCTTTGGTGAAAAGTAATGTATATACTTCTTCATATAAAATGTAGGATATATATTTCTCTCATTAAAAAAGTGAAGTATATACTTACTTCATATAAGAAAGAAGTATATACTTCTTCATATGGAACGTACAATACATCCATCTCTCTCTCTCTCTCTCTCTCTCTCTCACACACACACACACACACACACACACACACATTACAAAATGAAGTATATACTTACTTCATATAAGAAAGAAGCATATACTTCTTCACAAATAATGAAGTATATACTATCCCGTAAAGATACATTTCATTATCAGAAATGGTGTACTATGTACTCCCCTAAAAAAAGAAGTACATTCCTGCAAAGAAAGCAGTATATACGCACTCGTAAAATGTAGTGTGTACTCCCCTAAAAAAAGAAGTATATTCCATCATGAAAAGGCATTATATACTCACTATAGAAAAGAGGTAGTGCGGACTCCCTAAAGAACAACATATACTTCCACTAAAAAAGTACTATAATATACCCTCCTAGCATACAAAATTTACTGTCATAAAGAATGAAAAAATGCTACACTAGGTGTGACATTCATATACAAGTAAACTATGAGCGCGTGCAAGCATGCAAAATATAATGGATCAGAATGCTACTCCTTCCGTTCCAAAATAGATGATCCAACTTTGTACTAAAGCTAGTATAAAGTTGGGTCATCTATTTTGGAACGGAGGGAGTAGGTGATAGTGGACATCAATATACTTCTGTTACCTCAAAACGGGGATCACACACGTACGCTCCTAACTTTCAGGGAATATCTATACGCAAGCAGAAAAAATAGTAATTCATTTCTAGCTAGTAGTCAGGTCGTTGGGTTGTTGCTAATGGGTGCACTTTCATCCAACAAACCTTATCCACTAAGCATGGGAGTACATACTCCTGGGAGTACCAAAGAGGAGTCCTAGGGCAGTAACTTTCATCCGATTCAGAAAAAAGAAGTTAGTGAACGGAGGGAGTAACTTTCAAGTTTATAGACCTAGGGCAGTTCAGGGATAGGCACCATCACCATTGCACCCCCTCTGTAAAAAGTAGCGAATTCATAAGCAAATAGTAACAATAAGGAAAAAAATGCTAAAGAGCACATCAAACTGAGCACTGCAAACTACGTGCTTCTACAAAAACGTCAGGATCAATTACATAATCTTACAACAAGTCATACACATCTTACAACAACATGCTATAACGTGGAACTCACAAGTCATACACATCTTACAACAACATGCTATTTCCAGGACCATGAACATTGATTGAGCTTCCGATGGTTTCGCTAGCTAGCGAAGGAGTCCAGATAGTAGTAGTACATTACTACCATCTCAACCTGACCATTCACAAGATACAACAAACACCCAGCATCAACGTACCAGACAGACCCGTCTATTTCGCCACAATAAGCTCATCCAGCTTCTTAGAGTCTGCATCCTGTGGTCGGAGCGCCAGTTCATCATCAGCGGCGCTAAAATGGTATTTCTCCCCAACAGCCCTCAGAAGCTGGTACACTTCAAACATTGTAGGTCTTTCCTTTGGAGCAGAAAGCACGCAGGAACAGGCGACCTTCAGAACTTGAAGCAGCTCGGCGTCATTGTCCTTTCCGATCATGGACTTGTCCACTGCATCTTGAAGTATAGAGTTGTTTGATAGGTATGTTATCCAATCTACCAAACTCCCTTTGAAATTTTCTGGGGCCTTTGATACACGCGTGGGCACTTCACCGGTGACCAGTTCAAGCAAGACTACACCAAAACTATAGACATCCCCTTTTGGCGTGGCGACAAGGGTGTGCGTGTACTCAGGAGCTACATAACCCAAGTCGCCGAACTCGCCATTGACGAATGTGCTCAGGTGGGTGTCGATTGGATTCATAAGCCTTGCCAGGCCAAAATCTGAAATCTTAGGCTCATAGTCATCATCAAGTAGTATGCACTTGGAGCTAATATTGCGGTGAAGAATGCGGGGGTTGCAACTGTGATGAAGCCACGCCAACCCTTTACCAGCCCCAATGGCAATTTTTAGCCTCAACGGCCATGCCAGAGCCTCTCTATCACTGCCTCCATGGTGCAGTTGATCATAGAGTGAACCCTTGGGCATGTACTTGTACACCAAGAGCCTCTCTTTCTTAGCAATGCAGTAACCTAATAGTGGAACTAAGTTGCGTTGCCTAGCGCTTCCCAATGTTGACATCTCGGATGTGAATTGGCTCTCTGAATGCTGAGTATCTTGCAACCTCTTGATAGCAAGGAATGAACCATCAGGAAGCGTAGCTTTGTACATAGTTCCGGAATGAACAGTTCCAATAATGTTTTCCTTGGTAAAATCACCTGTTGCCTTCATCAGATCATTCAATTTCATCTTTGAGACTGATTTCTCAAACATTGATACCTGTAATGAGAATTTACAGAAACGCATGTGACAATGTAGCCAACCAAAAGTTTGTATGCCTAAGCTGATAAGTCATGTTTTCGATACGTCCGGTGCTTCAAATAAATGGCTGACAGCTATACTTCTAGTTAAACATGATACAGGTTATTTTTCAAGGCAAAAGATATATGTATAAGAATATTCTGCTTTTGTATTTCGCAAAAACATTAATCTGATAAGAATAGATACTGATAATTTGGTATCTCCAGTTCTGGATCTTCACAAAGATGAAACATCTTTTTGTGGGACAAGATGCGGCAGATTTTGTCAGTTAGAAACAAAGGACGGCTAACATTTATTAAAAAAATATAAATACAAAACTAAAATAGCATCTCAAGATCCCGTGGGTGGGGTGGGGTGGGTGGGGTGGCATACCTTCACTCCTTTTGCTCCCTTGATAGACTTCGCCCACTTATTTTCTTCCAGGTCCTTTTCCTTCTTTCTGGCAGGCATTTTCCGCAAGAAAATGAATAAAATCACACCAACAATGATTAAAGTGATGACTGCACCAGCAACAGCAGAACCAGCAATCACCCCTATACGACTGCTTGAAGAGGCAGTGCAATCACCGCTCAAAGGTTTCCCACAGAGGTCTTGATTTACGAAATTGGATGATGAGAATTTGCTCAAAGATGATGGGATCTGGCCTGACAATTTATTGTTAGCAACATTAAACTCGGTTAAGCGAGAAAGACCAGCAAACTGCCCTGGGATTGCTCCAGTCAACTTGTTATTTTGTAAACTGACAACATTGAGATAGGTGCAGTTAGCTAGCGATTCTGGAATCTCCCCTGAGAAGCTATTATATGAGAGATCAATGTTTGTAATGTATGGAAGCCGTTTTGAGATGTCAGCCGGGATTGGCCCCGAAAGGCTGTTGCTTGATAGATCCAGCGAAGTCATGCTACTACAGTTCTCCAGTCCATCAGGGAATTGGCCCTTCAGATCCATGCTGCTAAGCCGAAGAGAAAGAATCCGGTTTTCATTAGGATGCCAGCACTCCACGCCGTTAAAAGTGCATATGGATCCTTCTTTGTTGTCATCAAATGTCCAATGCAACTTGTTGTTTGGATCAACTGATGCCTTCACCCTCTTCAGGCATTGGATGTCAGTTACTGTGCCATAGCATGGCTGGCAGAGCACAAGGCAGAGAAGGATTTGGACCAGAGCAGCATACAACCACTGAATGGCCATCTAGTGTACTCTCTGCTTCAACGTCGAGAGTTTACCATGAAGCCTGCTCACTGCCTAAAATGAAACATGCGACAAACAATGAAAATCTTGGCAAGATATTTGTAACCCAAACATGATCTAAACGCTCTCATATTTCTTTACGGAGGGAGTAAATCCCAACAGAGCATACTGATTTTAGCAATGCACAAGCATTAAACTATAACCAGAAAAGATAACCAATGACCCTAGCATTAATGTATCCGAATGAGCACATCATAATTAATACTTGCCCTACTTAATTAAGATGCACACTACATGGAGATCAGTGGAAGGCAAAACTCCATAAAAGGAATCTGGATCAGAACAACGCGTTGGCAAACCAAATTTGCCGCTCACGGATCCATCTAACGGACAGAAGTCGAGGGCTGCAGCGAGACTCGGATTTGGCTGCCCGCGGCACAGAACATGGAAACGAATCAGGGGAAAGTGAAATCGGTACGGGGGCGTTTGACCGGCCGCAGCAAAGCGGAGGGTGGAAGCTGAGTTGCTGGCAGTGGCCGGGAACGGTGAGAGCGCGGATGAAGGTTACCTCAGCGTCCCGCCGTCGTTAGCGTCGCGGCCGCCAACCGATCCCGTGTCGCGAGCTCGCCGTCGCGGCCAGCCCAGCAGAGCCGAGCCGATCGTCGATCTCGCTGCAGCCTCGCCGTCGTTGTCAGCCAGCCGGCCGTCAAACTTACCGGTCAAGCACGGGGCGGTGGAGCTCCCCGTGGATCCCGGCGCCTCCCGGTCGCGGTCGGCGAGCGTGTTTGGGGGTGGAAGTCGGAGTGGGGCGGTGGCGTGGTTCGAGGTTTCGAGGGTGGAGCCGGAGCGTGGACGGGAGTGCTTTTTTTTTCTGAGGGAGTGCAGGACTGGGGCCCACTGGTCGGTCGGTGGATTTGGACCACCTATACTGGTCCATGAGCGGAAGGAGAACTGGGAAATTTCACAGAAGTAATAAGAGCATCTACACCCATGTATGACAAATATGACCTCTCAAACCTTCACGGACGCGTCCGGCCGGGCATGCTTCAAATTTTACTTCTTGCATCCGGACATCTTATACTAGATTCTTATATCCATACAAAGACATGCAAAAGAAGTAGAACCTACATACTACATCGATCCTAGTTACTTCTTGTTGGAGATCACGACGATCTCCATGCCCAGCTCCGGTAGTATGGGCGGCAGCTGCAGCTCCGGCTCCTCCAGCTGCTCTGCTCCGGCCTCCTCCGCCTCTATCTTCACGTCAAGCTCAGCGAAGAGCGCGACGGACTCCGCCTGCTTCTGCCGGAGGAACGTTCGGTTGGTCTCCACATAGGGCTCATCCTGAATGGACTCCAGGATGGCCTGCTGCTCCGCCATCTCGTCGGACTGGGCGATGGCGAACTCTGCATCCGCCCGCTCCTAGTTGATGGCCGGCACCTGCTGGTCAGGCTCCTCCACCTCCATCAGAGTCATCTCCTCCTCCTCCTCTTACCCCGACTGCTCCTCCTCCGGCTCTGGCGAGTTCGGAGGCAGCCTGGCAGCGATGCGGGCGGTGCGCGCAAATTTTCTCGTCCTGATCTTCTACTGGATCTCGGCAGCGCTCCAACGTGAGCATTGCGTAGTAGGAGATCTTCGTCCAGACCATGGCGAACCGTCTGAGTGTGGGAAAGCGCCGGAGCGTGGGTAGAACGTCGGAGCGGGAGACGAATGAGGTGGATGGGCTCGGACAGGTGGCACAGAGCGGGGGAGGTGGATGGACTAGGGTTGCGGGACTCTGACCGGATTAAATAGGAGGATTTGCTCTCGGGCAGCGACCCGGAGCGGCACCACGCGGCGTTCACACCGCCGCGACGAAGGAGGCATCCGTCGGATCATCGGGTTTCCGGACGAGCCACGCGTGGGACCACTTCGTCAGTCCTACTTGGCGGGCGTGCCCGGGCGCCCCATATCCACCCCGACCCCATATTTGGGCTGGATATGAGGAGTGCGAGTCAGCCCGGGCATTTGAGGCCCGTTTGAGGGGCCCGTCTGGATCAGAAAACGGTCAGTGACCGGGCGACCTGTTTGGGTGTATAAGACGGGTTTGGGACGCCCGATTGTAGATGCTCTTAGACTGGTCACATAGTGAGTAACATATCGCATTTATAAACAAACGTAAAGTGTATTGTATAATTTAAACAAGCTACTCCCGCCACGATACTTCGGTGGAATTAAGCCAGAGTTCATCACAAACTTGGCACATACGAGATTTAAAATCTAAACCTAACTATTCATGACCATCCTTCTTGATGACGAGATGGTACTACATCAAAGAGTTGGACGAAGGCGTAGCCGTACTCCTCCTTTGCCACCTCCAGCCGCGCCGTGACACCTTCTTCTCCAGTAGCGACAGCCTCCTTCGCCTCGAAGAACGCGTGCCTCGCCTACCATAGGCGCTTGGTCGCCGACCAGAAGATCTTATGGATGCGGTCGAAGTTCTGCCATGCTCGCTGGCCACGGCTGGGGGAGAGCGCATCGCGCTCCCACGCCTGCACTTTGCACCACTCCTCCACCGGCGGATGGAGGGAGGAGCTCCCGGCCTCGTCATCATGGCGGCGTGTAACGCCCCGAGACCGATGTGCCAGGTGTCCTCTAGTTATTCGCTGTTGTTGCCATGTCATTTGCTTGCGTGTTGCATCTTTTCATGTCATCATGTGCATTTCATTTGCATACATGTTCGTCTCATGCATCCGAGCATTTTCCCCGTTATCCGTTTTGCATTCCGGCGCTTCGTTTTTCTCCGGTGGTCATTTCTACCTTTCTTTGTGTGGGGGGATTAAACATTTACGGATTGGACCAAGACTTGCCAAGCGGCCTTGGTTTACTACCGGTAGACCGCCTGTCAAGTTTCGTACCATTTGGACTTTGTTTGATACTCCAACAGTTAACCGAGGGACCGAAAAGGCCTCGTGTGTGTTGCAGCCCAACACCCCTCCAATTTGGCCCAAAACCCACCTAAGCCTTCTCCATCATCTAGAGCGTTCGATCACGATCGCGTGGCCGAAAACCGCATCTCATTTGGACTCTCCTAGCTCCCTCTACCTATAAATATGTGGCCATCCCCGAAATTTTCGCGGATGAACCCTAAAAACTCCTCCTCTCGCGCCGCCAGACGTGTCCACGCCGCGCCGACCTCACTCCCACCAATGGGTAGCCGCCACATCGCCCCGCCGCCGCTCCAGGCCAATCCCCGCGCGCCACCTGCCCTTCTCTCTCCTCCCCGCCGCCGGGCCCGAGGGAGCCCAGATCGGGCCCGCCCCAGGCCAGATCGGGCCGCCGCCACCCGGGATCTCCGTCGCCCGGCCCTGTCGCCCCGCCGCCTTCAACCGCGGGCGCCACCCCGCCCGCTACCGGCCATCGCCGCCGGCCTCCTCGCCGCCATGTGACTCCGCCGCCGCTCGCCGCCAGCCCGCGCCTTGCCGGACTCCGCCACCGCGCCGCCCAAGCAGGCTGCCGCCTCCTCCGACCTCAACCGCCGCCTCCGGCGACCCCCGCCGCCCTGGCCGAGCTCCATCACCACCTCGGTGCCGCCCCGCCCTCACCGGAGTCCCCCGGCGACCTCGTCGGACCCGGCCGCCGCCCCGTCCCAGATCTGGCCGGGTGGGATGAGATCCACCCGGTCCCGAACCAAACAACCTCGCGCCGCCCGAATCCCTCCGTCCCGGGATATCCTCGTCCCATTGACTTTTTGCACAGGGTATAAATTTCTTCTAAGTCCTCGAAATTCCTAGATCCATGTGCCTCTGTTCATCGCATCGTAACTTTGCATCCGTAGCTCCGATTCATGCATATAGCATATCAAAATGTTCATCTCAGAGAGTACATCATTTCATTCCATTGCATCATTTTCATTTGAGCTCATCTTGATGCCCGAAATGCTGTTAGAAGAGGGCTACTTGAGATAATTGTCAGATCTGCTACTCCGTTTAGCTTTTTGTCATTTTTTGCCATGATTAATGTGTGCATGATATGCCCTGATGCTCTACATATGTTTTGTTAAGGGTTTTGTCATCTTTTCAGAGGTGCAACCCATGTGTTTTTGTGATGTGTGTGGTTACTAGTGCAAGCTTGCAAAGTGGTGCACTTAGTAATTCTGTTTTCAGGGACTTAGCATTTCCACTAAGTCCTTGAGCTGTTTATCTCATGATGCCATATGTTCATGTTGTTTCCTAGTGATCCGTGCCTCTTTTGAGGATGATCAGTAAGTATGTTTTGTTAATCTTGTAGTGCTCTATCCATCCATGTCTTTGTTTGCAATTATGGAGCACCCTAGCTTGAGTCAATCGAGCTCTACTTTTGCTACTTTGTGAATCTGGGCAGATTGTCAACTTGTTTGCAATTTTGCCGATGATGATGTAGTTGATCTGTGCATGCTATGCTATTGTTCTTGCCATGTCTAGCTTGCATTTTGTGCCTTCTTGATGGGTGTATGCTTGTCTTACCATGACTTGCACCATAGTGAGTGCATCGAGCTCGTAAACATGCCTACTTGATATCTGTTTTCAGCATGTTCCAGTTTTTCACTAAGTTTGAAAACTGATTATGTTTTTGCTATGTTCACGTGCTGGCAATAGTATTTTCTGATCCCTTTTGGCTCAAGGTCACTAAGGGACTTTTGTTAATATCTTTGAGTAGCTCCATGCCATGCTTTACTTTGCCATGTTCAGGTCCTGTAGCATGTAGTTTTGTTGCTCCGAAGAGTGCTATCTGATCTGAAATTCCAGGCTAGTGTTAATTTCACTAAGTCTGAGATCTGTTTGCCATATGCATTTTTTCCATGCTTGTTTGAACCTGTTAATGGATGAATTGGCCGTAGCTCAGTGCTAGACTTTTGTTAAGCATCTTGAATGCATCCCTGTCATGTATTTTGTTGTCATGTTTGGTTGCTGTAGCATGTTCATCTCATTGCATTTAGATGGCTACTTGCTGTAAATCGCAGACCGGTGTCATATTTGAAT